AATATAACTTGAGGCCCGCTTCACATGGACGCGTACGCCGTACGCGGAGCGTTTCAATTTACATTGTTTAAAAGGACGTTACACCGACCTATATGCTATCTTAGTCTCTCCAACGGATAATATAGACAAACCTTGCGAAGGAATTATCATCAAAGCAGCCACAGTGGGTGTTTGGTTAAAATTAAAGTACCATCTAGGTATAGTTTAAAATTGAAATAAAAAATTTGGTACCTAACTCCACAGTAAGTTTGATATTATATTATAAAGCAAAATACCTAATTAGTTAAATAAGCTGTATAGGCATCTGTACATTAAATTGATTCTCATATTCGCTATAAGAATAAATAATATCGAAAAAACTGTTGTTAAAAATGATCTTTTCTTACAATTTAATTGTTATTAATTTTATAAAATATATTATTTTAGTTTGTAACTTCACCGAGATTTTGTGAAAATAAATACAAAGACACAGATATGAGTGAAAAGTGCCCTACGCTCCCTGACACGAGCATACGAAACTGAAACATATATATACATATATTAAAACCTATATTAGGTACCAATATACCTACTCCGCGATTGAAGCACTGCTTGCAATAATATGAACCCAGCTTCCAGGTGAAGCGATCTTATTATTGGTATTTTAAAATATACAATAATATGTAACCTAATAACATATTTTTATATCATAATATATTAATAAGTATAATATTGATATTACATATTATAATTACGGCCAATACGAGGTACCTTTTTAAACATTTATTTAAAAATTATATCGCCTATAGCCTATATTTATACTCGGGCAAAAGAAATCTAAATTAAGTATTTGCAGGTAATGGAAAACCAATATAAACGTGTATTAAAAAGAAAATAATACGATTTAGTACCAATAATTGAAATGTACATATATTATTTATAGAAACGAAATATTTTTAACAATTAAACATATATATTAAAAAAAAAAAAAACAATTTTTGTAATAAAACGTGCAATACTTAAATTTATTATTAAAGTTTAATTTAATATTATATTATTAGTTCTTGGCAATAAAAATAAATTGTGCTTTGAAAATTACTATAGGTTGTCCTTGCTCTGGGGAGTGGTAGTCGACCCACTAATAATGTGAATAATGATTCGTATACCTACCATTAACGTATTATTTTAATCTTTAATAATTGTCTACAAAATGCTGTGTTAATAATTGAATGTACAGTATAGGCCATCATAGTATATTTTTCCGACAGTCTGCAGCATATAGATAGCACGGGCAAATACCACAATAATTATCTTCACTCAGTGATGTAGAGTTCATTAGGAATTTTTCCTGTCAATAAATATCTAATTATTTTTTTCAGTTAAATGTTAATTTTAATTAGGATTATATTATTAAAAACTGGTGAATATTATCAGATTTTTTTTTTTAGAAATTAAGTACCTATTTATATATTCAATAAAAAATATGTGTATTATACGTACATTGATTTTTGAATATTTTAGGAGAATGCAATGTTATAAATTTTATTTCTTCTCCCGTTTCATGTATTAATGTGTTTATACTATGTATATTATACTACAAATATCTGTCTGACAACATACATCGTATAAATATCAATGATATAAAATATATTATAATGTATGACATACCCAGTGGCGTACATAAGGGGTGGGCATAGTGGGCTGCAGCCCCCTCCCCGAAATTACAGTATTTTTAAATAGAACAACAATATATTTTATTAGGTACTATTATAAGTTGTAATATTTCATAGCCTGTTGAAAAATAACAAATACGAATATATTTATAGAAACTGTTAAATATATAGTAGACAGTAGCCCCTAAGTAATAGATCATTGGCTAGTTTCTATCTACTATAGCCCACCCCAAAAAATATTTCTATATACGCCACTGGACATATCTACTACGTCAACGTTCTTACGTACCTAATATAACTTACTTACTTCTTATCGCTTTCTATATTCTACATTTTATAAATAAGAACACTTTCTGAGGTTTATCACATGATTTTTGGAATAAGTATTAATGTTTGAAGAAAACCCGAAAACTCACCCTGCTGTAGGTATTATAGTAAGTATAGATTTTGAGTGTACCTACTACCTTTTGTCGAGAAACTCACTGTAATGGATGTGTAATGTGTTCCATTTGAATCCAATGATAATTTAACAATATTATTCTGAGCTAAGGAGACGGAATGATCACCATTATATACATTTCTAAGTTTCTAAATGTAGTTTATGTTATATTACATTTATATTATTATAAGTGTTTTCTAAATTTATCAGTTTCAACAAATGTTTGCAAAAAACATTGCAGCATATAACTTATAATATACGGGATAAATGGGTGATACATTTAATCTCACATTTAACGTAACTCACTTTAAAAAACAAAAAACTTTTTGAAAATATATTTTATTCTATAAATTTAAAATCGTAACAAAACAAATTGTTTACCATTTTTTAACATCTCAAGTTTTTACTCTTTTTAATAATAACATAAGAATTTCGCTCAGAATCATTTTTAGTACTCAATAATTTAACACATACTTTACAGTGACTATTACTCAATGACGAGGTACCGTGAGTCTTCACCAACCGTAAAGCAGTGGATTCCCAATTTACTCGTTTTTAATATTATAGAGTGAATTGACACCTATTATCAAATTTAAAGGAAAGAATATTATTTAGGTTTATTTCCTAGTATTTTTTTTGATATTTGAACTTTAAAGCAAATTATGATCATTTTAAAATTTACAAACATTTTTCAATTTAAGACGGACGTTTAATTTACAATCTATTACAAATGTACAAACAAGTAATACAAATAACATAGAAACATGGCAAATTTTCGTTCTGCAGTTCCAATTTTGTGTTGTTGACGTTGTTGTAATGTTGTATGGTAAGTTTCAATATTAGAATGAATTTACTTATTATCAAACTTAAAGGTAAGAACATCGGGTACCTACCTATCTATATTATATTATTTTGTGGTAGGATATTTGAATATTTCCGATATTTTAATTTCACTTTAAAATTAAAATAAAAACAACGTCAAAAAACATATTAATATAATGTTCTTACCTAATTTTAAATTTGATAACAGGTCAATTCATTATAATATCATAACTCATGATAAAGTAAACATATAAATTTGTCAAAAAGTTAATTAATTTATAGATAAATTACTATAAAGTTCACTTGAAAATTTAAAACTAACAACTTAATTGTTACTGTTACTATATGCAATATATAGGTATACACTTATAATTTGTATGTTTATACTATAGTATATAATGATAATATAGTGTCTAACAATATGTATATTAATAATGATCAAATAATCGAAACGATTAACTTAGAATTTTTATTTGGTATAATTTGTTGTAAAATATATTTTCATTCTATAGGAATAGGTACAAGGTACTATCGGTACTTAAATACCGATATATAATACAGTGACTAGTGAGTAGACTTTAAATAATGATTAAAGGGTGATTGACTCTTTCTAAAATACCGAAATGTAACTGTGTTTGAGTATCGATATTCGATGTCGGATGTACGTGTAGATATATTTAATAAACAAAATAAATGACAATGATGTTACCCATAGTAACGTCATAACACAACCTAATTTAAATTCAATTAAGAAATAAATTGTAACCAAATATTTTATAGGAGGTTCTGCTTTTGATATAATTTCGTGTAGAAATATAGTCACGCAATTTTCTTATAATAATTATTGTATTTCAAAGAAAATATTATCTGGCGTATAATTCAAATATAGTCAATGTATATGCATATTATCTACCTACTATACAAATAAACACAACAACTTAAAACATTATTAGAAATAAAGTTGAAATTTAAAAGTTAACCGTAAATTAATAACAAATAAACGTAAATATGTGGATAATGATATTTTTTAATGATGCTCACTCAATATATATTTTATCCGACGTTCGACGCTTCTAGTTTAAGTAATTCGTATTTCATACAATAATAATTTTGTATATTAAACGTGGATTACGTAATTAATATTTTGAACACAACATTTGTGTTAAAAATACATATAATACTAAAAAAGTAAAATGTATAATATTATAATATATGGCATCGAAGACTCAAGTAACTCTAAATAATTCAATACTATTACTTATATGTACTGTAATGGGCCTGTCTTTCGAAGACAAACATTAAACGGATAATTCGAGGAAACAATAAATATCTTTTACAACACTATTATCTGCGTCCTCTATGGGATAATGATGAGACGTCGCGCGTCGATAGAGTCGTATTTTGGGTATATCTACCTACTTATTATAGATCATCCGCTAACCAAGTGCAAGCTCATAAAAAGAGCGTACTTGCCTATAGTGGTAGCACTACCTACCTATATATAAATGTAAATATCATAAGATAATTCACATGGAAATCGTTCGCGGACCGACCTCGGTATAATCCATTTGTGGTCATCGACTGACGACGGCAGGACCCGCATGTGATTTAAGCAACCCTACCAGTGAGTGAATGGTGGGCGGGTACATATATATATTATTGTATTATTAAAGTACACATAATATAACCGAAGTAAGAGCCTATTAAACATCCAAACCGCGGTTTTTTGTGTTTTTTTTTTCATTATTTTTACTATATACCAAGACGAGGGCGGTGGAAGGGGCCGCTGTCTCGCGGGTGCAACCGACCAAGACGCATACCCGTATATACGGTCCCCGTGTACGGCGGCGGCGGTGGCGGCAGTCGCGTCTATATAAGAACGCGAGCACAGTAAGTGACGCGTCTCAGTGTCTTCCGTTAAGTCCGTGCGAAACAACTTCGAACGCTAACCACCGCCTTGATATACGGAAACACATCAACCACATCGTGATACTTGACTTATACTTGGCCATCGTCGAAAACCCATATACGAACATAATATAGTGATTTACTGTTGACATCGAAATCACTGCAAACGACCGTCGAAAATGGTAAGCGGATATTAGATTTGTTTTATTGTTTTTTTTTTTTTAAATTTTTTTCTTATTATAATTATTATTATTGTTTTTCCCGTCATTCAAATTTTATCGGAGAGACTTTTGAGTCATTGCGTCGCCGGCGTTCCGGAACGTTCGACGACATTAGTCACGATTTTCTTCGTCTTTTTTACCGCGCGCTTTCCATTTGGGTAAATTGTCATTTCCCGGGACACCGGTTACGTCTTACACTAAAACCGTTGCTAATCGATTTGACCGTTCGTCGTCTGCAATGGACAGTATATTATACATATTATACCTATATATATTTAACGCTGCACATCTGCGGTTTTCACTTCATTTTACATTCGTTGTTTCTGTAAATCCACTTTTATGGGCGCTGCAGACGAAGGAAAGTAAAATAAAAACACGTATTATATTAGGTATACATTTCTCATGTATAATATCTTCTCCGGACTTAAATAAAAGCCATTGATTCAACACGAGTGAACGAACCCCGGCGTAGAGTATAGGTACATATTTTATGTTGATGACGGTCGCTACACATTATATCAACAGCCTGTCATAAATAGATACGCGTACATGTGCATTGTGCATGTGTAACAAATCGCTAATAATTGCGGTGGACACCGTAAGCGTATTGAACGCATACGCCATCACACCACATTAAATAATCTGTGTGATAAAAGAGCTATAGTACTGTACATTCTATAGACGTCGTGGGAACAGGTAAAATGGTGGAAGATCTATACAGTTACAGTATTACAGTTAAAATCTATACTATTTTAGAAAATATTGTTAAAATTTTGAATGTACCAATTTTATTGAAAGTGAAATAAATATAAAACGAATCCAATTATATCCAAGGAAATTCGGTAATATATTATATAACGGATAATGACGGACACATTTTTTTACATAAAGGTTTTTTATAATTAAAACCTTAAGAATATTTATGGAAAAGCCTTGTGGTATGTTTTAAAGTTCAACTTGTAAAAAATGTAAAATAAAAGGTTTAATTTTCTACTTATTAAGAAAAATTTGTTAAACATAAATATACACACAAATAACAAGCAGAAACTATATTTACTTTTAACACGCGATAAGTTATTGATTCCAATTTAATCGAACACAATATTTTACTTATTGAAATATTGTATTTGTTTTATAATCTATTTCTACTTCATATCACAGCATAAGAAATACTTAAAATGTAATAAACGTGCTGATATTTCTGAGATCTGAGCAAACATAAATCTATAAATGTTATCTTAAATCAGAATATAAATATTTACATCAAGAAGTATGAATACCTTCAAGAATTTAAGAAAAGTGGCTATATACTTCGGCTACGTTACTCATAAATTAAAGCGTAATATTGAAGTATTTATGTTGACATTTGATTGATTATATGGTACCTACGCTTGGTACGCGTAACTAGAATAGTAAAATGTATTAATTTACAGAACTTTATGCACTTATTTACTTCTATTCTCTAATAAATGCAAGAAATGTAGATTTAAAAATAATTATTTTAAATATTTTAGAAACTGGTTTAAAATTTAAAAACGAACTTATTTGTTTTTAAACATAAAATTAATTTTTTGACGGCAAATAATTCCAAGCCAAGACGGATACAATTTTAACGTCTTTTTATTTTTTTTAAAAAAATTAAATATTTGTGGTAGATGCATATAATATAATATATACATATAAGTTATTGGTACTAATTAAAAATACGTTTTATTCTAAACTTATTAGTTCACTATTATTTTTATTAGTAAATAATGTGATATACCTAATGGTGTAAGTCTTGTGTAAGAAGAAAACCTTTTGTTATTAGTATACCTATTAGCTATAGAGTATATGGACTATAGTCAAATTAATATTGCAGTTAAGTAAAAACTACTTTGGACAACACCTTTAGTCACTCGCCAATTATTTTTGTGGTTAATAAATTGGGATGTAATCATATTACAGGAATTTTTTTTTGTTTCATGGTTATGAGTACAACATTATAATATAGAATGATCTCCCTACAGAATATTTTTAATTTAGTTTTCATTATTTTTTTTTTGTTTCATATTGTATAATATCTAACCATAAAATAGTTATAAATTATAATACTCGTCGTATTTATTTTTTATATCACTATAATATTATTTAATATAAAATAAGTATTCCTAATAAAATTTAAAAACTTACAAATTCATTTGTACGGCGGGCCCACGATCCCCTAAAATAGCAAGGTCCAACAGTCCCCAATTTGTAAACTTTAAAGTGATTATGATACACAATATATTACACTATATGGACGTATAAATCATTTAGATTGTTGTCTTATTTATTTGATTTCATTCGTATTGTCATTTTGTCAATTTTCTATACATTATAGTATTTATTATAATTAACTACTCTACCAAGTTACATTTTTTCAATACTTAGTAGCTCCTATATATAAGTGATGGACCTGAATGTTTAAGGTTTGATAAATTACTATAAATTATAATAATATTTCGTAAATAGTTCTTCAGGAAAAATAATAAAATAAAACTGTACTCTCCGCAGGAATTGAAGAGCTGTGATCATAGCCGCAAATTGGGGGGGAGATTGGGGGGTGCTAAGCCCCCCCCCAACAAAAAAAACCTAGGATATATAATGTTAATATGGTATATTGCAATGGTCTGTTTGCTTTTAATATATTCAGCCCCCGCAAGCCAAAAGTTGAAATTGTACCTATGGCTGTGATAAAAAAATAGCTTGGTATTATTTATTATTGATCGCACTCAAAGTGCCTATTTACTATTTATTACTAGTATACCAGTGTTTAGGTCAATTAAATGTGTAGGTATATAGCTTGAGGAATTGTTTTTTAATTTTTAAGAGTTTTATGTTTTATGTTATTATTACAGTATGAGATTTTTGACACACAAATACTGTCTTGTTGTTATTGATAATAATTTATAATCATTGCAAATAATAAATTATTAAAACCACTCATAATAAGTAGCCATAAATCATAATACGTATCCACCCGATTTAACTATTGAGTAATGGTAATCCAAATAAGTCATAATATTATAGGGTTATTGAGTGATAGTAATTTAAGCAGACATAATTTGTTTTGCAACAATAAAATAGGTGGATATATATGTATATTAGGTTTCATTAAAACGAGAGAACAACGAGAAAAACAAGTTGTTTAGTCATCTATGAAAAGCCGCATAAAAGCATAATAGGCGTGAAATGTTTTTGTTTCATCGAGCACGGGTTGCAGTATTAATAAATTATAAATATATTGAATTTAAAAAAGAGTTCTATGGGTACTTTTAAGATCAAAATTATATAATAGATGTAAAAAATCCTGTTATTTTGGACCGACATGTCTTAGAAAAGAAACACGGCACCGATGGCCGATTAGGATTGCAAGTGTGTTAGGTTTAAAGTGTCATAATATGACAACTGACAGGTGACAGAAATAATAATATGAACAATATTAGGTATAAATTAAAATATTTATGAAGTGTTTACAATGGAATATAATCTAATATATTATATAATATACACAATAACTAAGGCGTTTTTTGTGTCCTAATACTTTGGTGTTCAGTAGCATTAATGTTTTTTAATTAGATACCTATAAAAAAGTGTTGTCTCAATTTTTAAATTCTTCATTATATGTGTTTTATAAAGTACCTATAGTTTTTTTTATGTTTGTTATGTACATATATTTTAAAAATAATTAAGAACACCTTAACAAAAACTTTTTTTACTATTGGTTTTGGATTACATATAGATTATTAATTATATTTTTTTACTTGAAGAGAACGCCGTACCGGCATGTGTTGTCTCCGTCTTACTAACGCATAATATATTATCAACATGTACGTCGAGCAGTTCCGATTTTGTGTTGTTAGCTTAAATATTAGAGTGAATTGACCTATTATCAAACTTAAATGTTAGAATATTTTAATTTTTATAAAAGTTATGAATATGTAAAATATTAATACTTAAAAATTCTCATAATTCATTTATAAATTAAAATATCATAAACACCTAATTAGAAAACCTAGATAATGTTCATACATTGAAGTTTGATAATAGGTCAATACTCAATTCACTCTAATATTTAAGCTAACAATACATAATAGAAACTACTATATTATACTAATATGCGGATGTATATTTTGATACATTACGGCATTACGCTTTAGTTCGACGGAGCAACATAATATAACCCTCTTGCGATTAAGAATAGAAAGAAATGCATCGTCGTTATCATAGAAAAAAATATTATTTAAATACTTTAACAGCACGATTTACATAATTAAATGTACCTATTATTATTTCTAATGAAACCCTGCAGGTTATTATAGATATATTAAAAACAATGTGTTATTATATCTCAAAAATGTTATGACTAATGACTATTGTGAACATTTTTTATATTATGTACCTACTTATTTTTTATTAGGTTAAAAAAAAGAAGGTATGGATGCCATGAAGAAATTGATGACATAAATTATTCTTAGATTAGGTTAGGTTCGGTAAGGTCGTATTATATAATATTTACATTGTATTTTATTAGGTATTGATAGTTTTCTAATTATCTTTAAATTTGATCATAATATATGAACATTAAAATTTAAAATTCATTTCTTTATAACCTTGAAATTGTGCATTATGCTCATGATGAATCAATATAATAATTATGAGTTATTATTTCATAGTACCTGTATAATTTGTATTTATTTAGAATTGAATAAGAAAATTGGAATTTAATTTTAAGAAGTGGGAGAATATTTCAAGATATGCTTTAAAAATCGTGTTTAATTCGTTCATCATTTTGCAATGTCAATATTCAACGAGTGTCTACTGGCTACTGTCTATTATTGTGAGTAATCAAATAGCGAAAGAAAAAGAGTACACAATAATCAATTATTAAATATTCTATAGAATTAAAAGCAAAAATAAAGTTGAAATATGAAACATTTATATTGATTATTTTTTATACTTTTAAATGTTTATGAAATAATGATTTTTTGGTGATATGACATTTTAAACAAAACGATGATATATTTATCAAGATGTGTTTTGTTTATAGACACCTATATAGGTCATATTTAGTATGTAGATACGTTGTTATCTAAATTAAATTGAAGTTTGGTCCAACATAAATGAATAAGTACCTATGTTACCCCTTGTTTATTTAATAGCAATATAAACCATTAAGTATCTATCATAACTTCTAACTAATATAATCTGATATTATCGGTTATTTAAAATAAAAATGCATTTTTTTAAATATACCTACCTACCTCATACCTATGTTGCAAAAAAAAAGTAACATTCTATTAATATTTTTAACTTTAAATTATTGAACTACCGAGTGCATGCTATATAATATAAATAGTGGTGGAACACGTCATACTGTGTAAAATATTTTTAGTTATACACAATATACGTTTTAATAAGATTTTATAAACCTAGAAATACTTTAATTGAAATCATGTCGATGTCAATAAATTCTTCACTATAAAATTAATTGGGTGTGGACTGCTGAAAATGACAAAATATAGGGTGTTGTCTATTTTAGGGACAAACGTCTATTAGGTTTTTTTTTAATATACTTATTAGTTTCGTCTTCGGTTGAAGAATATAAGGATCATAATATCATATATATGGCAGGGGCGGCTTCAGGTCAATTCCTTGGGGGTGGAGGGGGGTGAAAAATTGTACTCTTAAATACCACATTGGTAAACAAAATATTTAAACCTATATGTTTGATGTAATATCGTACAAAAACAGAAAATTACACGTCTTACGGGGAGGGCGATCGCCCCCCTCGCCCCCCTCAGGGACGAGCATGATATAGGGGTGATTTATTAGGGGAAGTCAGGCCTCGTCCTCTCCTAAAAATACACTCGATCACGCCCCACAACATATCGTTGTCGAATGTCGAGTATATAGATGAATTTGGATTTACATGGTTTTAAAGTTTAAAAAAATCCTAGACCCTATAAGTCATAGGTTCTTAACCGGGGGTCCGTAGATGGTTACTCGGGGGTCCACGGGGTGACTTTGAGTTTTTTTAGATAACCCAAAAATAAATTTGTTTCGATAGCGTTTTTAAGATAACCGGGGAATGTCTTGCCCGCATTCTGCCACTAAGCAACAATCTTGTTGTGCTTGAAAATTCATTTGGTTTAAATTTCATTCAATTATTTTGATTCTACATTTTCGAGATCAGAAACATGGATACGCAATCCTTTTCTAGTGGAATTAAATACAATTAATGATTCAGACCTCGTTAAAGACGAATTAATTGATTTAAGATCAAAAGAAATGGCACGATTTTCAATCAAAAAATGTATTCGAATTTTGGTGTTCGTTGACGAAGGCTTATCCACGAGCTGTATCCATGGCAATGACATTTTTGATTCTATTTCCTACTACCTAACTCTGTGAGTCTGGATTTTTTATAATGGTCACAATTAAAATAAAGCAAGAAATCGATTGGACATTAAGGACGATATGCGTGTTGCTCTGTCCAATACGGTCCCAGATTTCAAGGCAATATTGCAATCAAAACAACAGAAAATGTCACATTAAAATTGGTTTTTAGCTACAAGAAAAAATGATAATTCACAGTAATTGAATGTAGTGTTAAGTCTTAGATTTATCATAAAAAAAATTAAATATTAAAATAAAAATGTTATTTATTTATATTTTTTTTTGGGGGGGGGGCGTGATTATATTTTATACTTCAAAGGGGTCCATGGCCCAGAAAAGGTTAAGAATCTATGCTATAAGTAGATTATTTTGTTGGCCCATCAGAAACGATTTTTTTTTTTTAAAGCTCTGTGTTACAATATTAGTCTAAACAGGTTATCTTAGGATCGTTTTTAGGAGCATTTGTCGCTTAAACATGTTTTTGTACTGTAGTTATACGTAATATTTACACGATAAAATACTAAGCTATATTTCTTATTATTATCATTATGGCGATCGAGTGTTAATAGTTGTTTGTCCATGGTCCCCATTATGCAATTATCCACCGAGCCCAACGCCTATAATATTATCGTCCGGTATAAACTGCGTCACTCGTCCTTATATTTATATTATAATATTATATATAAACGGTCTATTATATAATATGCTCGACAAAACCCATATAATATAACAATATAATAATTATGGTAATTGTTTCCATTAGCGATTTCTGACGTTTCTCATTTTTATTATCGCCGTTGTCCTTATTTTATATTATTATTATATTTTTCACCATATCCGACAGAGAGAGATAATACACCCACACACACAGCAGTTTATATACCTAATTTCATCGCCGCTCCCGTCCGGCAGACGACAGTATGATTACGATATTAGATTTGTATTAAATGTATACATATAGGTTTAATGTTTATATAATATATATATATAGGTACTGTGCATCGTATGACGGTTTCCTGCGTCCCAGAGGTAATTCGCAATTTGGTTCTCCCGTTTATCGGTTACGGTGGGATTACGATAATATTTAGAGTCTTCCGTTCACCACGACGTCTTTCGGATATATTATTATCATTGCCTCGCGTAGAGGTCGGTCGAACCTTTTTCGGATCGCTAGTCATCTCACGACTTCACGAAGACGGTCGACGGCGACGTAGAAATGTAAAATACACAATAATAACAATTAACAACACTATAATATAATAGTATAATACAGAACGCACCAAATCCGAAGACACGGTTTAACGCGTCGCCATCATCGATATATATGCAAAAAAAGCCGTTCGAATAATATAAGAAAAAATTAATTAAGAAAAATAAGCAATTCGGATAAAGACAATACGTGTGTTTGTATTCATCATTATTATTTTCGTTCGTTTTTGCACATTAACCGAACGGCCAAACGTCTAAATAAATATATTTCTTATAAGAAATTAAAGCGAGGCGGACAGAGGTGGCAACGAAATTGCGGGTACCTGATCTGTGTTTCCCCAAGTACCTTCACGGGGAATGCACTTGGTGACTTGGTTTAATTATTTTTTTATGTATTGATTTTATTATGCAGATGAACCTTAGCATTTCAAAAACTTGTCACCGCACTGTCATTCGACGTTTACTATTATGGCCATTATAAGGATGTATATACCATTTTATAATCGAGCATAAATATTATAATTAGCCACAAATCATCTAACAGTGACACTGCTACGCAATAGTAGGTACTCCTGATAATGTTATACAGAACATATAGATGGTGAATTAAATATATTAAGGGGCTACAGAATATACCGTACATATATTATGGAATAGTAGGTATATGAAAAATATTAATCGGCACATACTGGCTACTACTTGGGTCCGAAATCTCCGGAATCTCAAAGTTTCTGCATATAGAATTTTTTTTCAGTCCCGATTCATTCACATATTATTTTAAATTACCCAGTAGCTCGAAGTTTCGATATGTCGAATTGATTTGAGGTTCCATACTTCCATTGTAATTAGTTCGTAATTAATGTATATTAAATATTTTTAAAGAACGACAAAATAATTTTTCTCAAATTTAATAAACAGAATAATGTTTAAAATGTTAATTCGTTACTGGGTACCTACCATGTGCTGAAATATTATTATTTTTTCAAATCTTCTATTTGTTTCTAAAAAATACTTGACGTATTCATAAATTGTATATTTCTACAATCGATAGCATACCGTGCATACGATTACCAATGTGTTTATAGTTTTATAAACAATTGAACCAATGATTTCTATGGGCTATTGAATTTACTACCGGTTTCGTTTACCATTTTTGTGGACAGAACTACAGAAGTAATAAACAGCTATATAATTTTTAAGCTCAAATGAATCTAATTCCGTAAAAGTGTAAATCAATTAAAATACCCACCTGATATCATTAAATATCCCAAATCCAAATATTATTGAAAATTAGTATTACATTTAGTTATAAAGTGTATCAACAATAAAAATTATACCCATGGGTGCATAAAGTGCACTTTTAAAACACACAGCACCCTACCTATATTCTAATTTATAATTGAGGTAGTTCATTACCTAGTAATCCAGTGTAGAAGAACATGATTTATTATTTACATGTCACACTATAATATTTATTTGCCAGAAGTGGATTAAACGTTTTGTTTGATAAAATAATATTTATTAATGTTATTTATGAATTTATTTTTTAGCGTGAGTGTATATCAGTACATATTGGTCAAGCCGGTGTCCAGATCGGTAATGCGTGTTGGGAGCTATACTGCTTGGAACATGGCATTCAACCTGACGGACAAATGCCATCGGACAAGACGATCGGCGGAGGAGACGATAGTTTCAACACATTTTTCAGCGAGACCGGAGCTGGGAAACACGTTCCAAGAGCTGTGTTTGTTGATTTGGAGCCAACTGTTGTCGGTAAACAATTATTTCTTTACCTATTGTATTAGGTGTGCTAAATACTGTCATTAGACAGTCGTATAGAGCATAGTGCTCAGTCGTATAGTGCTCCATAACAGTTTACGTTCGACGAATTTTTATATTTTACATTATGGAAGTAAATATAATCGTCCATGGTGATTTCATATAAAAAGATGATGCTATTATTAGGTATTGTTTTTATAAATTATTCAGGTTTTTTAATTTATATATAGTTTGAAGTATTCACCAACTATGCTTAAAACCCCATTTTTTTCTTTTAATAATAAATTTAATCAAGTTATATTTTTTGAAATTTTCAATCTTACTTATGACTTACCTCGGTCTTACCCTTATAATCTACTCACCTTTTCATAATCGCACTCTCACCTCTACTCATAACATGACCGAAACATTTTTACCTATTCCTCCCATTTTATTTGTAATTTGTGCAACTCCTACACTATCTGTAATGAATTTATATTTTATTCTATCTTCTCTTGTCACCCTGACACCCTACAAATCCATTTTAACATTTTCATCTCTGCTACACACACCCTCTGTTCTGTTTTACTGGCCACCATACACCATTACTGTCCTCAGTACCTACTCACAGCTCAACAGCTGTTTTATAAAATCTATACCTGTAATCTCAACAGCATCATAATTCATCACATGCCTTTATAATATGTATAACGTATTGAATCATCAAGTATATGTTGTTGCTTCAGACGAAGTGCGTACCGGCACGTACAGACAACTGTTTCACCCCGAACAGCTGATCACCGGCAAAGAGGACGCGGCCAACAACTACGCCCGTGGCCACTACACTATCGGTAAGGAGATCGTGGACATCGTGCTGGACCGGATCCGGAAACTGTCCGACCAATGCACCGGGTTGCAGGGTTTCCTGGTATTCCACTCGTTCGGTGGTGGAACCGGTTCCGGGTTCACGTCACTGCTCATGGAACGGCTGAGCGTGGACTACGGGAAAAAGAGCAAGTTAGAGTTCTCCATTTATCCGGCACCACAGGTGTCCACGGCCGTTGTCGAGCCGTACAACTCCATACTGACCACGCACACTACGCTCGAGCACTCAGACTGTTCGTTCATGGTGGACAACGAGGCCATCTACGACATATGCCGCCGGAACTTGGACATTGAACGGCCCACGTACACCAACTTAAACCGATTGATTGGCCAGATCGTGTCTTCCATTACAGCGTCGCTAAGGTTTGATGGCGCGTTGAACGTCGACCTGACAGAGTTTCAAGTAAAATAATCATAATAAATTAATTTGCATAACACATCATGTTGTATTGTTATTACTTATTATTATTCCGAGAAAATTAAAGATATTTTGTTATCAAGTATATTCATATAGTTAATCTAGGACACAACTCTAATAATAGGCCCTATGAGAATTTATTCAGTCAAAATTAAAAGTATTTTATGTACCCAAGCTTGGCCAATGATAATACATCTAACTTAAAATATGTGCTAATGAAAACTTGTAACAGGTCTTGAACACCTGTTAGGGGTGGGGGCATAGGCGCCAAGTACATGGGTGCTCGGGTGCTTGAGCACCCATTGAAAATATTTATTGGGTGCTGAGCACCCAATGGCCAATATATTAATTATAATAGGTAAATCGTAATATCCGAACTGTTTTTGGGTTTTTTTAAAACTGAATCAACCGATGCACTAACTTTATTCACCTTAGTATCTAATATTTTAACAAAATTCAATCTAACATTATCAGAGTGTCGTGGTCAGTGTTATGATGGTGCTGCAAATGTAAGCGGCCATATCAGTGGTCTCCAAAAAAGAATTTTAGATATTGAAAAACGTGCTATATATGTTCACTGTGTAGCACATACTTTAAACCTTGTGGTCCAAGATGGTATGATGAGTGTAGATAGATCTCGAGATTGTTTAGCAATGATAAGATCTATTATAGTGTTTGTACGCTGTTCTCCCAAAAGACAGGCAATTTTCAATGCTCTACGAAGTGACCAAGAATTAAATTCTCAATCACTTCGTCCATTCTGTCCAACCAGATGGTGTATGCGAGTAAAGTCTTTAAAAACATTAGGTATACTACAATTATGCAGTTTTAATAAAGCTTTTAGATAATATATCAAAAGATAGGTCAGACTGTCAGAGAATGGTGCCAAAGCAAGTGGTTTTCTCAAACAATTGCACAAATATGAATTTTTATTTTATACTAGTAAATGATTAATATTTTTGAGAGGGTTGAAGTTCTCAATGCAGAACTCCAAAAGATTTCATTAAACTTCCATGAAATAAAAATTTTAATTATTTAAAATGTTACTAAAAACTTTTATTTTATTATATAGGTACTCGGACACTCGGTACACATTAAAAATTGTATAAAATATTATATTGTAATTTGTAAATATGTTTTGTTACCGGTTTATAGAAAATTTAGTATAGAGTGTGAGGGGGGAAAGCCCCTCACTAATACTTGACGTCAGTGGCACACAGGATTTTTTTCGGGGGGAGGGGCGTTATTCTATTAATAATTTACTATAGAGATAAATATTGTATAGCCCTCTAGGCCTCGGAGAAATTTCGAGGGGGGGGTGGGTGAAACCCCTTAACCCAAACCACAACCCTGTGTGCACCGCTGCTTGACATTGGTAAGAGCACCCAATACATTTTTGAAAACCTGGCGCCTATGGGTGGGGGTACAAAGCTCCAACGGGTTCTTTTTAGGACAATTTATTTATAAAATTAATAATGGTTCACTTCTATCTGTTTGCTGTAGACAAATCTGGTGCCGTACCCGCGGATCCACTTCCCGCTGGCTACATACGCGCCGGTGATATCGGCCGAGAAGGCGTATCACGAACAGATGACCGTGGCCGAGATCACCAACGCCTGTTTTGAGCCGGCAAACCAGATGGTCAAGTGTGACCCGCGGCACGGCAAGTACATGGCGTGTTGCATGCTGTACAGGGGTGATGTGGTGCCGAAGGACGTGAACGCGGCCATCGCCACCATCAAGACAAAGAGGACCATACAGTTCGTGGACTGGTGCCCAACCGGGTTCAAGGTGGGTATCAATTACCAGCCACCGACAGTGGTGCCGGGTGGTGATCTGGCCAAAGTTCAGAGGGCCGTGTGCATGTTGTCCAATACGACGGCCATCGCCGAGGCCTGGGCGCGGCTCGACCACAAGTTCGACCTGATGTACGCGAAGCGCGCGTTCGTCCACTGGTACGTGGGTGAAGGCATGGAGGAAGGCGAGTTCAGCGAGGCCCGCGAGGACCTGGCCGCTCTGGAGAAGGACTACGAGGAAGTTGCTACCGATTCGGCGGACGGTGACGGCGACGACGGAGACGAATACTAACAACCACCTGCACCACCTCAACCACCACTACCGCCGCCGTTTCAACATCGCGAACGACTGCCGCCGTCCGATCCCGCAGACAACAATCTCTCTTTTCACGGAAATTTCCGTCCTCGTGTCTCGCTAGTACGATGACAATAATATGATATCACAATAAAAATAAAATAATAATAATAATATTCAGTGCTCGAATTGGAAAAATAAAAGGAGTTGCTATAATAAGTCGTGAATGTTTGCACAAACTTTTCAGCATAACTATTAAATAATTATTACGATTAACGTACACTAGATGCAAATGCAAAAAGTTATTTTTTATTTTTATACATTAAATGAATATGTGTTAACCTGAAAAAACGATGTCTCCCCCCTTAATTCGAGCTCTGAATAACTAAAATGATATACTCTTTAAATACAATATATAATATATATTAAAATTCATCCCCAACGGGCAACAGGTGCGTTTTATATCGTTGAAATGGCTATTTCAAATTTTTGAAATACATCTACTATAGATGGCTATTAGTGGAAAGCCTATTAATGGCTTAAAGGCTTAAATGGCTTTAAAATCTGAAATTTGAATAATTTACTTACACTAACACTTACAACCGATCGACCACCGGACATAGACAAAATATATAACACTATTACACAAAGGTTATTTTTATTAGCTAAATACATATTTTATAATATTGTATTACAAGTGTTGATCGGTGGCATAATGGACTGCATGCATTTTGTATGGTGGAGGGGGGTGGGTAGAGTTTATAATAATTACAAAACATTTCAAAAAAATATATAAACTTAATAGTGATGGAAATTTGTATTTTTTTCCATCGTAAAAAATTTGAAGAGGGTGGGATTTTACCCCTTTACTCCCCACTCCGTACATAATAATCAGATCGTTTACATAGGTATAAATTATTTTCTATAATACCTCAGCTCGTATAACGACTAACAGTACCTACTACCTATACGGCTATACCTTAAGATAGTTTTATGCGGTTTTTATTTTCAAATTTCAAATTTGTTCTTTTTAGTTTAATATAACATTAACATATTATAACTTATTAATTATTATTGACGTTAACTAACGTAGACATAAGATTTTATAATATTATATATATAAATATTTTTACGATAGTTTTATATTATGTAATTGTAATGATAATAATTGTAATTCGTTTGTATACTATAATATATAATGCTACTTACTCTCTTTGATAAAAACAAAAAAATCCATTGCCTACTTTGTACCCGTTTTAGTGTTTTACCCATTTAGTATTTACATGTTTCAAAAACAAAATTGTAGTATTAATATATATATTCATCACACAATTTTCATATATAAAATATATAGTAGATAGTTGCAGGGTCATTGACAATTCGCAACACGTGTCTCATTATTTGAGTAGGTACAATGGCGCACAGAGGTATTTTGAGAGAACATGCAGTCAAAAAAAGTTAAATTTTATTATCACTGAAATTAATTATTATAGTCTATATTATAGTTTATATTATACATTTATAAACTACCCTATGACACCAGTAAACTATACCTATCCACCCCCCTCGAGATAAGCACATGCAGTTGCATACTTGATAGTTGATAACCTGTCTGGGTGCCACTGAATAGGTAATTATGTATTTCATTATAAACACTGAAATATACCTACTATTTATGTGAATTATGCTGGACCATTTGACAATATTTGAATAATAATTTGAACGAACAATTTAAAATAAATATATTTATTCGTACTTGTTCGGTTATTTTTTAATGGCTCATTGTTGTTGATTTTATTTAAACTGTTTCAATTTTAAATAAAATATAAACGATAGTACATACCTACCTACTTATACTTATGAGTAGATTGGTTTCATCAAAAGAACCTTTCATTAATTGTGGATACTAATACTTATATAATAAAATATTTGATTTAAATCTCAGAATTTCTTTTTCAATTTTGACATTTGGTATTCTTTAAAAAAAAAAAATACAAAAGAGTAATAACTACATTTCAGTATATAACTATACACTATAGGTACATGATGCAGGTGACTAGGTAGGTACTTATATGCATAATAATTGTATATAATATACAATTTTAATTGAATAGATATATTAATACAAAATAATGAATTATTAACAAATAGTTTAGGACAAAAACATTCTTTGAAAACGAAGTACATCTCCTCGACAGACTGGGCACGTTCTACGATATTGACCATCCAACACTGAAACGCATGTTTCGCACACCCAGGCATGACCACAAGGCAACACTCAATATGTTGACCTATACATTTTCACCAGGAGTAGTAGTTAAACATACCATACAATTCCTTGGATTGTGTACTACTTCTGGACCTGGTTCAACAAAGTCGTCTTCCAAAGCATCATCATTTGACTCATGACCATGTCCAATACCTAGTGCCTAATGCCTTTGCCTTCTTTCATAGCCAGCAGTCAGCACAGGAGTATGAACATTTCACTAGAAATTGCCACACACTTAATAGACCCGCTTCATGGTGTTCGACAGCCCTTTTTATCAACCTCGAGTTAAGTAGATACTTAGTTTTAAGGAACCTATTGTTGGTTGCAGACCATGGGCAATTTGAGTAACCATATAGTATGGTACTTTTGGCTCAACTCACATATTTGACCTGATGATTTAACCAAATTTATTATTATAATATTTTATAACATATTATGTGTTTTATAATAATATATATATAATAATAATAATATATATATAATATACTAGGTGACCCGACAGACTTTGTCCTGCGTGATATTTCAATCGATTAGGATATTAAATAAAGTATGAAATGAAAGCCAAATAATATAATAATTTCATTATTCTTTATTTTCAAATAACATCAATTTTTCTAAATACAATTATATTACCGTTGTTTATAGATTATTTCTAATTATTTCTGATTTCTAACCAATATATTTTATTATTATAATAGCTTTAAAACCCATTTATAAATAAAAATATCCACCATAAATCTCAACATTCCCGTCAAAACTGTGACATAACCACATAGGCGTGTGCTCGACCTATTTGGCATGTCGCGAGCACACGCTAAATATAATATATGGAATACATCTTCTTTACCTGGTTACTATTTTTTTTTTTTTTTTTTTTTTATTCATGGTACAGCATCAACTGCTAATGTTATTGGCTTGCAACAAAAATTGGCAATTAGTACATAATAGAGTATAGTTATACAATAAATTCTTAAATTAAATTATACATATCAATTTGTTTTAAAAATATGATTATTTTGTTGGTGTTGTCATGGATAGGGCTGAGGGCTTCAAAGAGGTTGTCGGGCAATTTTTCAGACTTTTTCTGGTATCTATATGGATACGGCAGTGGATATAAGGAGGTGCTTGACTGTGAGAGGTTCTCCGCAGGTTAGGCACATTGCTGGTTCTTCTCTGCGCATAAGATGTCCATGGGACGTCTTTGAGTGACCTATATACGTAATCTATTGATAACTACTTCATCTTTGCGCTTTGATGTATGGGGTTTAGGCCAGTATTCGGTAGTATTTTTTATTTCTCTCAGTTTGTTATTGGGTGTACGACGCCATTCAGATTCCCATAAATTGGTACAAAAGATGTTGACTTTCCTATATGGATGTCGATGAGTGAGGAGTACGTGAGTATTTCGGTCAGAGGGTTATTTACTGCTTCACGAGCTACTTTGTCAGCTTTCTCATTGCCATCAATTCCACAATGGCCAATACAATAATATAGTAGACATTTATTAAAAATCGAAAAATTTGCCAAATTCAAAATGCATATAGGTACTCGTGCATGATTATTCATACTGCAGTAGGTACTGCACTATAATGTCAAAACTAATGATTTGCGCAATTGTTGTGATGTATTTATATACCGTATATCGTACCCAATATCGTGTTATTTTCAAGACTGCAGTTTGCGTGTCTATTTACAAATTTTACAAGTCAATGTTTTTCTCACCAAACCCATTTAAAAAATTCGTCCCGATTATAGAAATTTGTCGTTTGAAAATTTTTTTTCATAATTTTTGTATGGAAAATTTAGATTTGAACACAAAATATAAACATTTGTTATCTGTAAAACAATTTACAATACATATTCGTGAATATTTGAATTTTTGAATCCAAAAAAATCTTCTGATTGCGTATTTTTATTTTCTGAAAAAAAAACTTAATAGAATATAAAATATTTTGAAAATTATATAGTAGGTAGGTATGTCTTGTAAATGCTTACATGAATATTTAGTAAACATTTTAAGTCCATACGGTTATTTGTTTTTGAATTATAACAAAAATACAAATCCGATTATGCTGGAAACTAGTTTTTGTAAATAAATCCGGTTTTTGTTTATCCTGATTATTTTTAATTTTGTTAAGTACTGAGAATAAAATTTTCAATTTTGACATCTCAAAAGTTCCAACTATCGGTAGATTCAATTTTTAGAAGATAAATTGTGTATGTACACCTATAGATAATTTACATAAAATACACGCATCAAAATCAATACAATATTCATTGTTCCGCTCAGAATTTAAAACCTAACTTTGAAAGGTTTAAGAGTTCAATTTCAAAATTATGGAAAATTCATTTTTAAATAACCTTATGACAAAATATGTTTTTAGAAGTACCTACCTAGTACCTACTAGAGTAGTATACGCCATACGCTATAGGATTGGGTACCTAGGAAGATTAAGTAAGGTAAAAACACGGAAGGAATACGATTGAGAACGGTCATTATTGGCGATACCTTTTTTAGACCCTTTTGACTATTACGATTGAGAACGCTCAGTTTTTATTTTTCCGCGCAACGTTGCCAAACTTTGCCATATAAAAATCGGCTATGGCTATAGCCTATATAAATATATATGACCCTTAGCACTGCTCACACACTGTCTATGTGGCAGGAATAAACGTCTTTAAAACACAATACTATATTCAATAGGGTACTGTTCAAAAGGCATCAACA